TATAGCAGGAAAAAAAAAGGGGGGGAGGGCAGGAGCAACCAGCAAAGCCCAGAAGCATGGGATATACCCATGGTAGAAAATGTGCACAGCTGTGCCTAGATCATGCACAACCACTGGCTGTCCAACCTCTTTTTGACCAACTCCAGCGATAGAGAGTCCACAACTTCCTTAGGCAGTCTATTCCACTGCCCATTGGCCATACACTGGGGGTGCACATGGGTGCACATGCACCCCCTGCAAAAAGGTGCCACTGACACTGCCAGCAGTGCCTGCAGGCGGTCACCACTTGCCCCTACCCCTGCTGCCAACACCGCCAATGGCATCTGCGGGTGGTCCCCAATTGCTCCTAGCTGTCGCCGACACTGCCAGCAGCATCTGCAGGTGGTCACCACCCCTCCCCCCCCGACACTGACAGCCCTGTGGCTGCCTACAGGAGCTCACCGCCACCGTGTTCCCGCCAACAGGGCCACTGCAACCTACAGGAGCTCGCTGTGCCCCCCCAAACTCCAGCGGCACGTGGCATTCATGCTACTGCCTCACCATTCTTACAGTGAAGAAGTTTTTCTGGCTATCCAATCTAAATCTACTTTTGCTGCAACCTCAAGCCAGTGATTCACATCCTTCTCTCTGGAGCAAGAGAGAAAAGGAGTTTTCCCTCTTCTTTATGGCAGCCCTTCAAGTATTTGAAAACTGATATCCTGTCCCCTCTTAATCACCTTTTCTACAATCTGAACATGCCTAGCTCCTTCAGCCTCCTATGATTTATCTTCCAAGCCTTTGATTACCTTTGTTACCCACCTCTGGATACCCTCTAAATTCTCAATGTCCTTTATAAAAGTGGAGTCCAGAACTGCACACGCTGCTCTAGACAAGGCCTAATCAGTGCTGAGTACAGAGGCACTATCACCTCCCATGTGTTGCACCTAATGCTTCTGGTGATGCAGCCTAAAACTACATTTGCCTTTTGTGAGGCTGCTTCACACTACAGGCTCATATTGAGTGTGTGATCTATCAAAGACACCCAAGTCTTTGCCATAGTGCTGCCATCCAGCCAGGTGTCACCCATGATATATTTGTGTTTATGATTATTCCATCCAAAGTTTAGCACCATGAGCAACTGGTGCCTCCTGATATGGGGTGGGGGCGCACCAGCAGCCGATTGCCAAAACTGGAAGTGCTGCCGGCAAACCCAGAAGTGTCTCTGGTGTTTCTCTCAGCGCCCCCACAACCTTAGGGGGAGTAGCAGCTGTCGCCCCATACTACTCAGCCAGCAAGGGCCAATCTCAGAGGGGGAGCATGTGCCCCCCCATGTGTCACCTATGTGTAGCACCTTGCATTTTTCTGCACTGAACTTTATCCTGTTAGCTCTAAACCGACTTCCCAATCTGTCAAGATCCTTCTGAATTATGCTTGTATGCTCCGTGTTCATAATCCTTCCCAGTTTTGTGTGATCCACAAACTTGCTTAAAAACCGGTCTGTGCTAGCATCCAAATCGTTAATAAGCATGTTGAACGGCACCAGACCTAGCACAGGCCCTTGTGGGACTCCACTCCTGCCATTCTGACATAGACCTGTTAATAATTACCCTTTGTTTACAGCTATTGAGCCAGTTCTCTATCCATCTTGTAGTAGTTTTATGTAGACCACATTTCTCCATGTCCAAATTCCACTCTTTTCCCATTTGGTTTGTATTAAAAAGGCCTAGTTTGTTTGCTTGTTTTTAAATAAAAATCCAAGATTAAGTAAGTAGGCACCCTTTCAGCTAGTGTTTCCTAATTGTATTTATTATAATTATAAAAATAGACCCAAATATGGCTTTTCATTTTTTTTTTTAATCTACTTTTTACATCGGAGATAGAAAACATCAACTTTTGAACTTCTCATGGAGGATTTTGACCACTTGAAAGACCTGAATGGTGAAGTTAAAGGTAGGTAGAATCTAACCTTGCAGGGCTGTCACTGCCCCTGGTGGGAGGGAGAGAAAGGTTGTTAACCAAGGCAGAATTCAAAAGCTGCAATCCTAGTTTAGGCTTCCAAAGATGTCCCTGTCTGAAATATAGTCAGAGTCAGTGGGCTCCAACAGATCCAGATCATCCATCATCAGTGTAGAAGCTAGGGGAGAAATACCTGGCCTGGAAAAGAGCCAGGTGATAGGCTATATATATCACAGACAAAGAGATGATGTAGTGGGATAGCAGTTGGTTGAAGCAGACTTCAGCTGCTTGCTACAGGGTCCCTGGAGTGCAACTTACCTTAGAAGGACAGCTTGCATTCCTCTACCAGCCACAACAGAACATGGCAAGAAGCTCTCTCCAAGGAGAAAAGACCACCAAAAGCCCTGAGACAAGGTCACTGAGCTCTACTAGCATTGGAAGCCAAGGCCTGATATGAAGTTGCCGAAATATTGTTTGTATAACTACCTGTTCACTCCTTGCTGACCATGACCCATCTGGAGGGCTGAATCACAAAAACAGGTACACCTCACAAAGCTGCAGTGGCTGTTGCCAGAAGAAAAACTTATGCCACATCCAGCCACAAGAGGAGGAAGGTGGACCAGGCAGTTTAAAGCTGCCCTTCTACAGTCTCAGGCTACCTTGTTCTCCCAGGAATTGTAGCTGAGGTCTGGGTCTGAGCTGGAACTGTCTGGGCTCAGAAACTGGGCCTGAAGGTTTGATACTGCATATGGTCACAGCTTGTATTCACAAGGACAAGAGTCTGTATACCAACCTATGTTCCGCCACAAAACGGTTGAATTCTTGGCAGAGCCACACACAGGCATAGGCTAGCCGGGTGGCCGCCTGGGGCCTGGACAGAAAGGGGGCCTGAAAATAGTAATTTTTTTTTATTATGATCATCATTATCTGTGGCAAAGGGGGGCCCAATACTAAAAGTTCACTGGGGCCACCAGGAGTCTAGGTACAGTGCTGATTCTTGGACCCGTAAAAGTTGTACAGACAGATACTCTCTTCATTTTCATGAAACAGAATCCTTCACTCAAATGCAATGAAAAGACATAAACTGCTGCTCAGCTTGTTAGGCTGGTTCCAAAGCCTAAATCTCAGTTGCCTAGCTAAATGCTTCTCCAACCAGATTCTTCATTCCACTTAATATTTTAAAATGACAATCACCAGAGAGTAACATAGCACCATCTCACCAACACATCTATCTCCCTGTTGTAACAATTAACAGGAGCAGCCAGCGAGGGAAGAAATTGTGATAATACATCCAGTAGCGGAAGAGTAGTCAGCCATAACTCTCTGGAAATAAAGAGGTTTGGGGATATCACTAGAACATGATAACCATGAAATAAAGTTACAAAACTATGACACATGGTGGAACTAATAGAACTCCACCATCTATGCTGTGGTCCCACTTCCTGGCTGCTGGAGAAGGCTGAAAGCAAATAAGGAGAGGCTACCAGAAAGCCTGAAACAGAATCTCTTATAAGGGCTGTTAATGTACAATATAAGGAAATAAAATTGTCTATGATTAGTATGTTGTGGTAAAATAACTATGAATGAGTTACCTCCATGTATATACATTGGCAATATATGTATGTATATTGCTGAGCTACCAGCAGCAGCATTGTGGTCAGCTATCAGATGCACTGGTGGCTATTTTTTACCCCAACAAAGGCTGAGTTTCTAATCATATCAACTAGGGCAAAAATAAAAATATCACTAGGATAATCTAATGTAAACCTGGACCCACATAAAGAGAGAAGCAGTCGTTTTTCTTAACCTTCTTTTGTTTAATTTTCTGGGAATTGCTACTCAGCTTCTCTTTTGAAAAGATATCCTTTCAAAAGCTTTTCAATATTCTCAAAGTTCTGCTGTGTTTGGTGGTTATTCTGGTATCCTTATAATACCTTCATCTTCAGTTATGCTATTGCCCCACAAGAAGATCCTGAACTGCTCTATGGGTTCTTTGCTTGTTTGTGCTTGTAGGCTTTTGCGTGTGCAAGCTGTTGCCAATAATATGTTTGAGGTTACCCACCATTTCCCTGCCATGTCAGAGGGTGTGGGTATTATGCAACAGCTGCATAATACTGGCAACCTCAAGTAGCTGTTTGCATCATTTGCCAAGGTAACTGACTTTTGCTAAGCTCATTTTTAAAAATAAAAAGTAAAAAAGTATATATTGTATGTTCATGGACAAGTTTGTACAGGAAAATATATTTTCCTTTTCAGACCCTGTCTTGCCTGCAGGGGAAAAAGTCCTATACATTATCTTGGTTTAAAAATGGCAAAAATAAAAGATATTAAGAAATATTTAACAAACCTAAGTAGTGGCTGGCCTCTGAAGTTATTTTAAAACAGAACAGCAATCTAGGATAAGAACTTAGAAATACCAGGACTGTTTTTCACCCTCAACTACAAAGAATTACTGAATCAGACTGGCTTTAGCAACTTATTTTCAAAACAAGAAAAGGAGTTTACAATTAATGATCAGACTACTTTGCATTTACAAAGCATTCAACATCTTTAATTCCCAAAATTCCTCTTAGGTTAAGTATTATTCCCATTTAACTGGCTGGGGAACCGAAAGTTAAATCCTTGTCCCCTTTAATCAATAGGGGTTTTGCCATTGACTTAAAATGGGCCAGACTTTCCCTCTGAGTAGCCACTATTGAAAGGACTCCTTTCATGTCTCAAAATAGGAACAAGGACAACCTGTACTATTGTGGTTTTAGTTCCACATCAGTATTTGGGCTGAAATCTGTGCATGTTTGGAAAAGTGAATGACTTCCAAAACATGATGTTAAGAGATTCTTAACCTCCTCATTGTTAATCTAATCTCATTTGCTACCAAAGTAATTCCTTCCTTTTATTGTTGAAGAGCAGCATGTAGGCAAATGTATCCTCTAAACCAGGGGTGGGCAAAATGCAACCCACAGGCCGGATGTGGCCCACCAGGCCATTCTATCCAGCCCACAGGACCCCTGAAAAATTTAGAAAATTAATATTTATCTGCCCCTGGCTGCCTGTCACACGGCCCTCAATGACTTGCCAAAACTCAGCAAGCGGCTCTCTGCCTGAAATAATTGCCCGCCCCTGCTCTAAACTACCTTTGATCAAACCCAGTTCAGAGCACATTGTAGGGCTGAAGTTGCTAAGATATGTATCATGATAAAACCTCAAGTCTTACTTTTAATAATGTTGGCGAAGATTGACGCCACACCTCCTGTGAAGATTGATAAGTATAAAGCCAATTCTAAGGCTTGGATTTGCTCCTTTCAAAGAAATAACAAATGTAATGTTAGGAATCAGAACCCTTCCTATACTTATATTCCTTTCCACTGGTCTTGCTTGCTCCAACAAATTTTGACATTTGCCTCAGAGCATGACTTACTGTTATCTAGGAACTATATAATCATTTCCCACATCTGGTTAACTCTTTACCCATCTCTTCCAAATCATTTCAAAATGTCCAATAAAATTAAAGTTCAATTGCCATGATATCACTCAAATGAACCATCTCCATCTTTCACTGTTCAGTGTCGCACATGCTGCCAATAAGGTCTGTACAGCAGAGATTATTTTTCTTTAAGCTCTGAAAACAAAAACATTCTTAAGTCTTTAATCCTCAAAAGTTTCCAGTGAAACGGCACTTTTACAATGCATGAGAAATTCTGATAGTCCATCAAAAGAAAATGTGCTACCCAGAATCATTAAAATGACATGCCTCATCTTTGTCTTGTCTGAAAGGTGTGTTCAAGGTGACTGGTCGCAAAGGTAGTTCTGAAGAAGCAGAATACCTGGGTGGCATTCTGTATCGCACCTTTTTCCAAAATCTTGTACTTGTTAAGTATGATTTCTGTGTAATGTCTCCTTCCCATTGGATAGCTCCATGCTTTTGCTTAATGTATTTGATTGATTCTGGCATGTTTGTGTAGTCTATTGTTTTAGCTAGCTCAATCAAAATTACTTTAATTCCATCTCGGATGAGAGCATTGTACAAAACTAGTTGTTCTTCAGGAGAGTCCTCTAACAAATTGTAGCTTGATGTTTTTGGTTCTAAAACAATGATCAGTCTTCTGCTTTCTTTAATTGTTTCATCAACAACATTGACCACGGCTGTAAATATTATAAGGAATAATTAAAACACACCAACTTCTAAAGATATAAACATCTCTCTCTCCATTAGAAATAGATGTTTATTTTCCCTTACGCCAGCATTCTTAAAGTGACAAAGCCAATCTAAGCATAGATACAGTAATACTGATATGAAAGTGCTTATGTGAATTTATTTTACTTCAGAAAAAAAGCTATATCTGCATAAGCATGTTTATATTGTGTAATGTACCTATACTAGTCAGGTTTTGTTCATTAAAAAAGATCATCCTTATTGACACAATTATACTGTTACAAATTTAATTATAAATTGGCAATATAAAGTAAGACCTGATGCGTTTTGGGGGGCAGGGGCTTGGTTGGGGGGGGTTTTGTGGGTTTTTTGTTTTGTTTTGTTTTGGGGGGTTTTTTTGGAGTAACAGAATAAATTTTCAACATTGCAGATTAAAAACATGAATTTAAAAAGTCAACAAAAATGTAATTACCTAGACCAGGGGTGCTCAAACCCAGCTCCATGGGCCAATGCAGCCCACAGAGCCATGGCATCTGACCCATGGGGCTCCCCACAAGTCAGGAAATTTGGCAATGGAAGAGTTGTGGCAATACAGCAACGCCCCCTGCTGCCAAATTCCCAAACTCCAAGCCCTGCACAGTGGGTCAGAACCAGGTCAACCACCATTCCCCACCATCCTGTGGGTCTGGGTTGAAGCCAAGTCAAGCCCCTATCCTCCTCCTCGCAGCTGTTCAGTCTCACTGACAAGTAAGCCTTTCCTCCTTCCCTACGTACTGCTCTCCCCTTATATTTTGGCTAGCCTGGAGGAGCTGCTCCTAGGATCCCATCTCTGACCATGACTATATATTCCAAAGTGAGTTGGGAACAGACTGCTGCCTAATGAAAATGGTAAGAATAACACCACAAGGGAGCACTAGGGGCAGACCTCAACATTGTCTATGGAATCAGGGAAGAATGGTGTATCATGAGAACAGACAGATTAGGCAATTTAACTGAATCTGAACTGGAAGTTAACTTAACTGAATCTTCTCAAAAAGAGGCAAAGATGTACAAAATGTCAAGGTCCCGACTAAGATTTAGAAAGGAACTTAGGCACAGCAGAAATCAGTGTTCCCACACCTCAGAATTAGACACCTAATACTACAAGTAAAATTTGCAAACTTGAGTTAGGCACCTACATGCCACATATTTTAAACTAGGAGAGAGAGGCACTCTTAATACAATGGGGGAGTACTCTTAAACCATCCAATAGGAAGGGATGATGGGAGGGTGAGTTTGAAATCGTGCCTCTCCCCTGGACTTGGACTACAACTAAGCACATGTGTGAAACAGATTCACATCCCCAAATCCCCACCTATACTAGATAGCTTAAGGCTGCCAGGAGATGTTAATTTAGTCACATCAATAAGATCTAACTTTATCCTGGATCCCACAAATCCAGGGTGTGGTCTGAGAGTGGTCAGGCACTGGAACAGGCTACCTAGAGAAGCTGTGGAATCACCATGCCTGGAAACTTTCAAGAGCAGATTGTACAGATACTTGGCTGGGATGGTTTAGTCAGAGATGATTCTGCCTTGAGCAGAGGGCTGGACTAGATGCCCTTGTGAGGTGCCTTCCAGCCCTACTTTCCTGTGATCCTATATTCCTAAATCATGTGTTGTGCCATGCCAGACTTGTATGAAAGGATGCATGGTTTTGGGGATAAATCTCTCAGACCCCATCACATATGGCCAGACCTTTAAAGCTGCACCACGCAGCCCAATGACAGGATTTAGACTTGGATCCTAGGTCCCTGCTCAGCCTGAAAGGGTTCAAACCCACACCTCCCACATCCCAGAAAAGTGCTAGTCTGGCCTGAAGATATTCTCCATCTCTCATGTTGCAGCTGGGCCACCGTGCAGCCACACACGCACAATTCATGGAGCCAAAAAGAGAATACAAACAAGAGAGGCTGGTTCTGTAGCCCAGGAATAAGGACAGTCACTATGGATTACACAGCAGGGAAGTTCTGGGCTATAGTCTCTGTTCCCAATCCAGAAGTGATAGTGGCTGCTGAAGTAAATGGTGGCAGCTGGTAGTAGGCATGCTCTAAGCACACCTATCAGACTGGGGCCCTTTTTGGACTCTGATGCAGGGCATCTAGTTTAGGAATCTCAAATATCTTTAGGCATACATTAGATGCCTAATTATTCAGCTCAACCAAGATGGGCATGCACACTATGTGAACTTTAAGTACCTAAACAGATTTACCAGTGCAAATCTGTGTGTGTTTGGGTCTGTGTGTGTTTGCGGGGGGGGGAAGACGACAACAGGGTCCTTAGGTTATATCTACATAGGGTTAGGCAGCACTGTGAAAAATATACCTGAGCTTTGTGTATCCATGCTAGCTCCTGAGTGAGAATGAGAAGAGCATTTTTACTGAGAAACAAGGACTTATTAACTTGGCATGTACCGGAAGAATATAGATGTAGCGATAGCAAACCTTACTTCAAATGGGCTAGTCCTACTGCTGAGAAGTTCAGAAGAGGGGGAAAATGTTTGAACCATATGCCTCCCACACCTAGTACATGATACAATCTGTGGTTCTATGACCTAGCATGAAATGCTCTTGCCTTATTTTAACATCCAATAAAAATTATGTGAAACTCAGTCATAGCTTTATTTTAAAGACAATGATTTTCCATTTTACCTTTTCCTGGTAAATCATCCCTTCCAAATATAAAAAGCGTATATCCACATTGTCTCTCTAAGACCTCAGGAAGCACCCTGAGCACAAAGCTATCTGTTACACAGCTGCAGGTGACTTTGCTGGATTTTGGATACAACACGTATGCATCATATATCTTCCCATCTGAAACTGAACAGAAAATAATTACCATAAACGTGTTTTTTCCCCACCACTTGTGCTTTAAATTTTACTCCAGAAGCTATTTGGCTAAGACATCAAATACTCAGCATAGCTATGTAACAATCCATATTAAATACTTCAATTGCAGTTAATTATTCAGTCAAGTATGAAATTGCCCAAATATGCTGTTTATTATCTAATATGGAAAAATACTGAGACTTACAAGACTGTTTAGGACCTCTTCAACATTTCCTATCTTGATAGCCCCCCACTTTTAGTTCTAACACTGAGCAACTAATTGTCTTACAATGGCACCCCATAAGCTGCTGGTGACATCAGGCTTTTATTACAAGATCTGGTCTGTAGTTGGGAGTATTGTAGTTAAAACACTTGCTGTTAAAAATGTCCTCATTAAAGCAGGGAATAGGCACAGACAAAGAGATGGGTTGTGTTTCTATCAGATCTTCATACCCACTTATTTCTACATGTAAAAGCCAGTGTCTGCTAAACATACAAGGCCTTTCACGCCCTCTGATTAGAGTACATTCAGTCCCAAATTTTCCAGAGGCAGACTCGCTTTGTGCTTTCACATTTTGGCACCAGCAAAACTGCTCTATTTTTTTCTCCACCCAAAATGAATCATCTTACAGTTCAAATTGTAAACGTTTCTAGCAAGCACACTTTCTCCCATGCTGCCCCATCTCTAATAGGTGCTTTCTGCCAATGCTTACAAAACGACACTATTGTTCTTCAAATCCCTTCTTTTCTAAAAAAGTCGGCTACTAGTGTGCTGCTTGAGTGAGAACCTGAGGGAAACTATTTACATACAAAAATGTCACCTGATAGGGATAAGCCAATTACTAGAGATCCAAGTGAAGATGATGGGGACATGAAGTTGGCTTGAGGAGAAAGAGAGGAGGCTGCACAGACCACTCAAAATTTACAGATGCTGAAGAGCAGGAGAGCAGACAACTCATAGAAGAACAGGACTAAGAGGAAATAGTGGTAAAGATTAGCTACTGAAGGAGAAAGTTGAGGATGAGGTATGCTGCACCAGAGAATGAGGAGCAGACAGCCAATGAAGTGACAAAGAGGAAAAGAAGAGCAACCAGGCTTTCAAGGAGAAAGGAAGAGACAGTGGAGATAGCAAGGGACACAGAATCTGAGGAGATAATGACAGAGAAAACAGAAGACAAAGATCTGCGCACACACTGAAAAACAAAAGATATCAGAGAGTCACTCCAACACAAGGAAAAATTAGGTTTTTGTTACTAAGGCTTCTTAAGGAGAACAGGCCAGTTATCAGAGTGGATCCACAGAAGAGAAGCATGTGCTGTCTTTCTGAAGCAAAGATACAAGGTGCAGACTGGAGGCTGAAAAAGCTTCCTAATGGTAGCAAGGAAAAATTCATCAACTGACCTTCATGTTGGGATACAAGACCAGATTCAACCATATTCCCCCTGGAATTGAACAAGGACAACTCTATGCAAACCTGAAGAAGATGATTAAATAAGCAGAGGCTCAGCTGATCTTCAGTGGAATCCTTTCACTTCCAAGAGAATAATGGCAAAGATGCAACAGGATAACAAAGATCAACAGATGGCTCCAGGACTGTTGCTATGATGGAGTCTTTGACATATTTGATCACTGGGAAACATTCATGGAAAAAAGATTTACTCTACCTGAGTGGAGCCTTCTGGGATTCAGGTCAGTGCAACCAATAAGAACTTTCAACTGGTGGAAGTAGCTTGGGAGAAACCTGTATAATCTCCATACCTAGTTTTAATATAAACTAAAAGAAAAATTTGGATAAATAAGGATAAGGCAATGGATAAATGAATGGACAAAAGACAAACGGAAAGAAAGTTGGACAACAAGCAGACAAAACAGTATTATTTGAAGAAAATAGTAATTAGTTAAAAAAAAACCCTTGTATTTAATGCAGACAGAAAATTAAATGAGGTTAGAGAATCACTGAAGTGTTTCTACAGTAATACAAGAAGCCTCAATCAAAAATAGAGAAACCAGAACTTCTGGTGCAGGACGTGAAACCAGTTATTATAGGGATAACAAAAATATGATAGGAGAGCACTCAAAATTGGCATATAGGTACTGAAGGATAAACACAATTTGGAGAAAATGGAAATAAGGGTAAAAAATAGTAGGGTGGCATATTGCAGTAATGCTATAAAGAAATAAGAAAAGGTTGCATAAACCAAATACAAGCCATTTGGGTCAAAAACGCTTTGGGGAAGGATTATAAAAGAGGCTGTGGTGGCTGGGACTCGCAGTAGACCTCCTTTCCCCCTCTCCTTCTTCAGATCTGACCTGAGTATAACTAGGCTTCTCTAAAATAACTGACACAAATACTACCAGAAGTGCTATCCTTATAGAAAACTAGCTTCCTAGCTACAGGTTGGAAGACAAATGCTACTAATGATGGTAGCGCCCAAGTCTTCCTAGATATAACACCTGACAGATTTCTTCCTATTCAAAGAACACAGGAAGGAACTATAGAAAAATCTGGTCTTAGAAAATAATCTTGGATCAAGTGACCCCCAAGCATTTTTAGTTTAAATTAAATGGAAGGAAAAAATGTGTCTATACCTAAGCTTTTCCATTTCAAAATGCTGAGAAATTAAGGACACTAATGATGTTCTGAAGAGCTCCAAGACTTGAACATGGAAAAGGCTTAGAATCAAGGTCAAAATGAAAAACTGTCTAAATCTTACAGCTAAACACGTGGAAAAAAAATGTCACCTCAAAGGGTATTAGGAGTAAAAACTACTGAAATTAGTGGGGGGGGGGGGGGGGAAATGACATTTTCTTTGCTCATCAAATATGTCCTAGAGATCAAAAGTCAAAGTAAATGAAACAGTAAAAGGTTCTTTAGCCATATACATTTTAAAAAACATGCTGTAGAACTGTGCTACTGTAAAGAAAAAAGAAAATAAAGATGACCTAATTATGGCACCAAAATTAAATGAATGTTTTTTTTCATTGTTCCTACTAAGAAATGAGATGGTGAGTGAGGGAGGCAAAGGGGGAGGCAAAGGCAGGATGTCTAATAAGAGTGAGAGTGTAGAAAAGAAAATTACAATATCCAAGGCAGAAAGAAAACTCAACAATCTTAGTATGCTGCAGCTGAGCCAACTGAATAATCTCTATCCTAGAACAGTAAAAGAATTAGCACATGAAATTAAAAGTCTGCTAAATGGATTGTTTTTAAATAAATGGTATCAAGTTATGAATGGTACCATATAATTAAAGAATAGCAAATATATTAACTGTATACAAGATTTTGAAGGCATGATTAGAGGTAAATGGAAAAATGGGATAAAATTCAGAAGAGTTTTACTAAGGGCAGAGTATGCCAGACAAATGTGGTATCTTTAAGGATATAGCTACCGTTGTTTAGAAAAATCAGTTGATCAGGCAAACTAGAGAAGGGGAGAGATTAGGATGAAAATCTTAATATGGGTAAGAAACTGTCTAAAGGGAAGATAACAACAGGTAATCAGGTCGTGCAGAAAATGGAAGTACCAGACTGGAGGCATGGTATTAGCGATTGGTCTCATTTGATATTTTTATTAGTGATGCTGGACTATGCTAGTGAAATCAATAGCACTGTAAAGTTGGGAGGCATCTTCAACACAAGGAGGATCAGCATATTATACAGAAACAATCAGATGAACTTGAGGACTTGGCTGGGATAAAATTTAAGAGGATGATGTGCAAGGTCATGCAGTTTGATACAAATAGGAAAAAAGTTCTGGAGGAGGCTCACAGTTTGGAATAAGAGAAGCCTAGGTACAGAAGTCAGTCACAGGATGCTTAAGATGCGGCTATAAAAAAGCCAAGGGTGATTGGATGCATCAGAAAGGTATTGCTGAAAAAAAGGAGAGAGAGAGACAAAATAATTTATATTTTTGCAAAAGATGTGCATCTCTCCAGAATACCAGGAGACAAACAGCAGAGAGGGAGAAGAGTTGTTTAAGCTAAAGGACAATGCTCAGACAAAATCAGATAGGTGTAACCTAACCACAAATAAATTTAGGTTAAGAATCATATAAGGTTGTAGAATAGTATTTCTATGCACTAGGGAAGCCTAATGGTTTTCATGATGGAGCCTTACAAATTTATGAAAGAACGTATGTGGTTGTCTGTATCAAATGACTCTGGACTCCGTGACACAGGGAAGACTCTTTGAATCCTGTGTTCCTATGAGAATTCTGGACTTGGGGTGTTACCACAATACAAATAATAAGCATAATTCATCAACATCACTGAGATAGCCACTATCAGGTATCTGGCAAGGAAAAAAAAAAATAATAAAGAATGCAGATCTTTCTTAAATGTTTATAAAAATATGCAAGAGAAAATAGTGCCTACTGTCTACCAAAAAAAGATGGTGGGCAAAAATTTAAACAACAAATCTAGCGCTGAATCTTTTAATTCTCTTCCCTCCTAAACAGATCTAAAAAGGCAAAGGAACCTTTTACTGTCTTAATAAATCCTGGAATTGTACACCATGTACTCTATGACTACACAGACACATACCTTCTTTATTCAGAAAAGGTCCACAGGACTTTCGATACCAAAGCACAATGTCAATTTTTAAAAGCTTGTAGATTAATATGGCAACAACTATTAGAAACACCAATGAAAGGAATCCGCCAATCAAGTATCCTTGAATATTTCGAGCTATAACAAGGGAAAAGTATAAAGATGACTCTTCAGCATACATCATTTTTGAAACATTCAAACAAATGCTCTACAATTCTGAAGCTTTGAGCTATATGCATTTTTTAATTCGGGCCATAATTGAATACATAATTCATAATAAGTAATCCAATATCTATCTTCTCATCTTTTGCTCATGAATTATCTGTGATCTTCTTGTATGTATTCTTTATTCTAAATTATTTGATAAAAAATGGCTGCAAAAAAATTATAGGTCTGTTTGTAAGCAGTATATTGCATGCATTAATACTTGAAATTTAATCTGTTTTGACTGAACAGAAGTATGTTTTAATTTCTCAGCTGAAGAACCATGTTTCTTATGATCAAATCTAAGACATTATGGAATCTCTCTTAAACTTGCTATTTTGATGAACATATCTGGACAGTAGATTCATTGTTCAGTGTTCCATACACGTTGTTCACACTTACACTGGCATAAATCTAAAACAACTCCTTTAACATGATGATGCAACCCCAGATTTATTATAATTTTATTAATAAATTACAATAATATATTCTATAGCTTTATTTATCCATATAATTATACTATTTTTTCACATTCCCTTTTCAATGCATTAATCATACCTTCTTTTGTAAATTTATTCTGGTCAGTACATAAATGTCTTACCTGGCCTTTGTAATACAATGTATGCTGAAACTTTGCCAGCACGACACACAAAGTGGTGTCCATAATCTTCACGCTTCACTTCCGTAATGTTCAGCCTCAGAATAGAGAACATGTGGTCCGCAAAGAAAGAGTCTTCTCTATCAAAAAATATGGTAACCACAACAATAAAAGCTGTTTTCAAACAAAGAAAATATTCCTGGTATAGTGTTAATATATTTTAATTTCATGATTGTCTGAAATTTATCTTAATCTTTTCAAAGTATGCTGACAAATGGAGTCTAAGTAATAATTAATTATTTGTATTGTAGTAGCAGCTTGGACAGTTTCCAACGGCCTGATTAAACTTGTCAACGTACAATTTACTATCAATAAAACAATGCCACTGCCCCCAAAACCTACAGTCAAATAGACAAGAATTGTATCTATGCTGTCACTGCCTAATGAGATAAAGATCAAGCAGTTACACATAGAGAGACATGGCTACTATAGTGTCATCAACTCACAATGTTATTGAAAGTCTCATAATATTGGGCATCTTTCTTAGTCAGCTCCTGCAATTAAGACATCCCTGAGAATTTCTGGCTTATAAAAAAATTCCAATCTTCCAGTAAAAGAAAAGCTTGAAACGTTGAAAAGTGTATTCCAAAAGTTCACAAAATAGAAGGCTAAAATAAATCAATAAAGTAATTGGTTCTTTTTATCTCATGATTTTTTAGATAGTTTCATGCTGTTTTAGATGTTCAACTCATGATTTTAGAACACTTGAGTTGGCAATTCCACTAGCATTCTCTTTTGTCATACAAACCCATTGGATAGATTTGCTCAAAAAACTCCTGCACTTAACTTAGGATTCAGCCATACAGCGAAACCATGCTAAGAAGTGCCATATCCTCTCCAAGAGCACTAGATCCTAAAACTGAAGCATGGCAGCCATAAATATGCAGTGTCAAAAAAACCCTCCTGGTGTCAGAAAACCCTATCATGGTGCTAATTAGCAGTGCAGCAAGTGCCTGCATGTGCAGTACCACAAACCACATGTACACATTCGTCCATTGTTTTGTGAAGCAATACCTACTCCAGTACCTGTATTACTTTTTTGTTAGAATCAATTACAAAGTTTAATATGATTTCTAGAAATCACAGAAAAGGGATTTATCATGTAAAGCAAAAGCAGTCATTAAAAGTCTTAAAGGTATCTTCTTACATTTTAACCAGTGATCTACCAATAAACATTCTGATAGGCTAATATACTTACTGATCTTCCTCTCTTATTCTTTTGTTAAAAAAATAATTGACTAAAGAATTATTGAATTTCCAGGATATAGCAATTGAATAATCTTTGAAACTTGATACATTGCAGTCTATGATGAGACTGGACCCTGGAGAAGAAAAAGTATTAGGAAATGGCAAGAACCACCATTAATTCTGCATAAACAAGTCTACTCATGTGACCAACAGTAAATATTTAAAGGAACACAAGAAACGGTTTTCAGAATCGTGAAACTTTAGCACATTCCTCAGATCATCAACTGTTTTCTTCACCAGAATTTACCTGACATGTTACAAAGACTTCACTGACTTAATTCTTCTAAAAGATAAATAGTTGATTCTGTTCTGACCAAAATCATCATCATCGCTTCTTAAATTCAACACATCTATGAGTAAAGTTATTTTTTCTTTTAAATTACAGCTTGAAACAACTGACTCTGCAAATCAAAGGCAAATATTGAAGCAAAATAGTACACGCTTTAGTCAGAAGCTTGAGATAGCTCTAGCAGGTGATGAAGAATGACAAATGCAAAATATTTCCATCCACAAAAACTGAGAGACTTAACTATACTAAGAACCTTGACAGTTTCTGCATTTGCCATCTGACCTAGATACGGTATATCAAAAAGGCCAAATCATCCTTGCAAAACATTTTTAAGTGTGCTGGACAGACCTTTACTGCAAAACTAATTACTACATTAATTGAAAGCAGAAATCCAGAACCACTTACATAACACATAGCACATACAAGATGACTTGCCCTATGAATTTACAATCCATACAATAAATACACAAAGCAAGGGGAGATATCAAGCAAAAAAGCAGAATGAATGATGTTTGTTAGCCACATGATATTTACTTGAAATACCTGGCCACAGGTATTTCAAGTAAAGGGTATTTAAAGTAAAGGTAAGGGGGCTCCAGGTCCTTGACCACCTGGGTGATAGCGATCATCGCTTGCTGAAATTCATCATCCAGCGCAGGGTGACAAGGGCCTGCAGTAAGGCAGTAGCCCTAGACTTCAAGAGGGCCAACTTCAAGGAGTTGAGGAGATTGGTGGGAGAGGCACTGGGGTTCTCGAGGGAAGGGGAACTCAGTGCCCAAGATGAGCGGTCATTCCTTCAGGAGACGATACTCAGGGCCCAAGAGGTGACGATCCCAACTAGAAGCAAGGGGGGAAAAGAGTGCCCAAAAGCCTCCCTGGCTCACCAAGGATGTCCGGGAATGTCTGGTTGCCAAAAAGGCGGTGTACACCCGGTGGAAAGGGGGGGCGATCTCCAAAGAGGAGTATACCTCCACTGCTCGGGCCTGTAGGGGGGCTGTTAGGAAAGTTAAGGCGGACATAGAGCTAGGACTAGCATCCAAGATCAAAGATAATAAAAAGTCCTTTTTCAAATATATAGGGAGGATGAAGAAGGCGCCGGGAAATGTGGGGCCCCTGCAAGATACGCTGGGCAATCTGGTGGTCGCGCCAGAGGAGAAGGCAGACCTCTTTAACAAATTCTTCACCTCCATTTTCTTGTGCAGGGACAGGGACTCCCCCACCGTGATTCAAGATGGACTCGAGGGGAATGCTTCAAGACCTAAGGTTGAGGAGGACCAGGTTAGAGTGCTACTGGAGGGGCTGGACATGTTCAAATCAGCAGGTCCAGATGCTCTCCACCCCAGGGTGTTGAGGGAGCTAGCAGG